GTTTCTATCGGGAGGAATCAGCAAAGATAATGTTTCAATTTTGTTAAACAACAGCTGAAATTCATTACTACTTATTAAATTCTCGATTGAACGGAAGAAATATTAAACAAAAACATTCACTGCAGTTAGAAATAAAATAGAGTAAATAAATCATCTCAACTCTTAATGACCAGATAACGTGAATTATTCATATCAGGAAAGTTTATAAATGTTGATCTTACTAAGAAATTTTGTATATTCAATTATTGCTTTCAGTTATTTCCATTAAAAAAATTGACGAAATCAGTTAATCTGCTCTGCCAGTTTCAATTCAACGGACCAAATTTAAAAAGAAACAATTCATTAGATTTTAATTCAAAAATTCCCAATCAGCTCTTTAGGTTATCCAAAACCCCAAAATCAAATGTTATACGTTTATGGCAACATTATGAAAATTATATAACCCATGTGTCCATGTGATAAATAATTTTAAACGGTTCAATTAAACTCAATAAAACCTTAATAAACTTAACAAACGTAAGTCGTTTCTTAATGAATCAGCTGTTACATTTTTTGGTTGTCATCATCATATGACGGAAATTTTTGTCTCAACCAACCGTGTTTTTGGAAAAAAATCTTCATCCGAATTAATATTTGTTTAAATTTATGTACCAAAAGTAAAAATTTATTTGCGAGTCCAACAACCAACCAGGAAAATGGCAATTCCAACACCCAGCCTATAATAATATCACGTTAATGTGATACAATTAAAGAAGATAATGTAATACAGAGACCCAGATAGATGGATGGTTAGATAAATAATGGATTGATGGATGGATGTGGGGATAAACGATTAAATGTTGGGATAGATGGATGAATTTAAGAATTATGGATAGATAGATGGATGGATGTACGGATAGTTGAATAATTATACGAATTAACGAGCGGATAAATGAATGAATGTATATACTATTGTATTAATTATATATATATATATATATTTATATATATATATATATATATATACATATATACATATATATGTGTGTATATATATATATATATGTGTATATAATATTCATCTAATAAAAATAATATAGGGATAGCTCTGTCTAGCTCTGCGAACGAAACTAACATGAGGTCCGGTCTGTATCGATGAATGATGGCACAAAATGCCAAACCACTTTTCCACGATGACGTAAAATTGCTGACGGCAACCCTGTCGTACCCATCACACTGCAACTTGCACCACGTCAACAAATTTTTCAGTTTATCACCCATAATCGCTGATGATGATATCACTTGTAGTTTCTACTTGCAATAACTTAATTCTAATTTTATTTTAATTATTTTAACTTAATTGTAATATAAATTAAATCAACTTTAATTTAAATTTAAATTAACCCTTTTGAAATAAACTAAACCCAAAAGAGACAGTCAGATCAAATAATTTAAAACATTAAACAAACAGCAAACTAAGCCATCTTATTTATATGTATGTGCATTGTGCACGGTATATTTTCATCATCATGTGCTATAACAATTTAGTTATCAATATGCAAACGTATGAGGTAGACCATGCATTACTCCGTAGCCTCTAGTTAACTAATATCGGCAAGTTGTCATATAGTATATAAACATCTGAGATCTGCTTGTATCATGAATATATATTTATATCCATGGTTTATATTGGGTATTTGCATTATGTTTATATGTGTTTCTGTCTTAAATACTTGTGTGTGTATATATATATATAATATATATATATATATATATATTTATATTTATACATCTGTGTGTGTGAGTCTGTGTATGGATTTGAGCATGTAGTTTTGCTGTCTGTATGTGTGTGTGTGTGGTGTGTGTGTGGTGTGTGTGTGTGTGTATTTACATTGCATTTATATGTACATCTGTCTAAAATATTATATATATATATATATATATATATATAGATTTGTGTGTATGTGTGTTGTGTGTGTGTGTGTGAGTCTTTTTGTAGATTTGAGAATGTAGATTTGTTTTCTGTGTGGGTGTATGTATGTGTGTGTGTGTGTGTGTTTGTGTGTGTAGATTTGCGTTGTTTGTGTGTGTAGATTTGCGTTGTTTGTGTATATGTAGATTTGTGCGTATTTCGTATGTTTGATCTCACAGTTTTTTCACACGCGCAAAGCATGTTTAATGTTTAGCTACTTATTGTAACGAGACAAATGAATAATTCTTAATAATTATTTTCTGTTGCGGATGAAAGTAATTTCAGTGAATGTGGTTGAATGTATGCTGCCTGAATGACCGATCAAAGTGAATATCCGACTAATTTTCTGTTGACTGGCTAACAATTGAGTAAATAAGTTTTCAACTAAATCCATTTTTTTATTTAAAGTTTCGCAAAAACAATGAAAACGCTATAAAATTATTATATATGAATACAGGCTGCCAAATTTATCGGTAACAAGCCTTTAAAAGTCGCTAGACGATTCTTGCTAACATCAGCTCAAAAGGCTTGCGATAAACGCTTCAATTTTTGTACCATAAATTTTTTTAATTCAAAAAAACTTACAGTTCACAATAACAGTTTACCACAAAAAAATTGATAACGTTCAAAGACTATGTCTTTATTAAGGAATTAAAGATACAAAGCATCAAACTTTATATTGATTCATTGAAGCCAATTATATTAAAAAACGAAGAGTAAAATAGCCCGGAGTAAAATATTCTGACATCTTCAAGTTTGTTAACTTTATAATGTCAATATGATTTTATTATGAAAATTACTTGATGCTATTTTTTCAAGCTGTTCTTTAAAATTTGGGAATCTGTAAGCTCCATTTATCTGAGTTACCGCCAAATATAAATTGTGGGCTTCGTTCAGCCCTATGGGAAATTTTAAATCACTAGCGTAAAACCTCGTTAAGGACATACAATCTGGTCGTGAACCAAGTAATGTTTTTTATGTTATTAATAATTCAAAGAATATTTTAAGGACGGTTTGACAAGATCTAGTTTAGACAATATGTTGATTATACACGAAGCTTAATTTAATCTCATGGTAGTTGTTAATTAACCAATATTAATCATTGTTATTCACAATATAAACTTTACTGTATAATTATTTACTGCGTTAAATTTTTTAATAAATAATTATAACATTATTTACTCAAAATTTGTGCCTTTGAGCTTAGTTAAATGAATTTTCTGAAGCAATTAAAAAATGAACGTTGGCATTTTAACATATAAAATGTGCTGGTGGTAGTGTGTGCGTGTGCATAATCAATATATTACGAAACGTTTATTGTCAGCTGGTTTGTCTGTTCACTAGCTTAACGTTGTTATGTTGTATGCAGCTGTGTTTTCTTCTAACAATAATATGAAGGAGATTTTGTGTGCAGTATTGAAATGTTCTCCTCTCCTCATTTTAACTTCATCCTGTATTTATGCTTCACATCAATTTAAAAACATGCCAAAAATAACTGGTCAACCATTATCTACATTCATAGAAACTTTTATATATAACGAAGAGAGGAAAATTAGAAAAACCAACCAGTTAAATGAATGTACTTTATAACTTAATTTTTTAATTGCAGTAATAAAGTTTGGGAGTTGTCGTTTGCTCATTTTGGGACTCAGCAATATAAAAAATTCATATCTGAAAAGTTCTTTAGAAAAAAATTATTTTGAAATGTGACACATTTACGTGTTTCTTATGTATGCTGCATACGAGATCTTAAACAAAAGTCAGAACTAAGAAGTTTTGCAAAATTTGATTTCATTTTATATTATCCTCAAACATACCGACTATTTTGGCTTAAAATTTCTGTTCAAATAAATTAATAGCCAGGGGAACCAGCAACAAACAAATTGTGAAGATGTCCACAAGTTATCGAGTTGATGGACAGGCTGAAGTGACTGTTCTGTTTAGGTCGGGTTCGTGGAAGTTGTGTAGTTTTTCAAGTGTGTCAGAGTCGTCAGAGTTTCTTGCTAGGGTCGGAGTTGGAATTTTTTGAGAGGCTGGAGTCTGATACTTTTCATTTTGTGAAAAATCGGAATAGTCCTATCGGCATGATGAATTTGGATATACATAACATAACACAACAAGGATTATAGCTGTTCTGTAGATATCTCTGTGTGAGAACCACTGGATAATAATTCTAATTTTAATAAATTTACATGATGAATTTGGATGAAAATTTTATTTTCAAAAAATTGAACAATTTCTACAAAATTCTAATAAGGAAAATTGAAAAGATAAACTTTAAATTGATTAATGTCAGCAATTCGGTAAAAATAATACAATACAATATATATATATGTATATATATATATTTATTTTTACAATATTCTATAAATATTTATAGAATATTGTAAAAATTATGGTCTATTACCAACATGTATATGTATATATATATACACGTATAATATATATATATGTATATATGTGTATATATGTATATATGTATATATATATATGTATATATATATATATATATATATATATATGTGTGTGTGTGTGTGTGTGTGTGTGTGTGTGTGTGTGTGTGTGTGTGTGTGTGTGTGTGGTGTGAGAGATAAAAAGATTAATTGAACTTATATATATATATATATATTTATATAAACATATATTTGTATATTTAGTAAGAATTAATGTGATGTAAGATAATAATCATGTTTAAATTTAATACGAAAAAATTTATGAACTTAATTACTTAATTTAACATTTCATCAGTCTAACTTTTTAATACAAGCCGCCATGTTAATAAATAAATGGCGATAAGCGAAATGTACTGCACAGCACAGTAGTTGTAGTGGAAAATTTTAATTTTAAATAATATTGTATTCAGATTTCAATAAATTCTACTAATTTAATTTGGAGCAATAATGATGTCAGTTTTATTCATTTAGATGTATGATTTATAAGTTGAATTAGTTACAGTATTGTATTGAGTATTGTGAGTAGGTCAGTTTTCTTTATTTATTATTTTTTATTAAAAATTTTAGTTTAATTTTAAACAATAATTAAGAAGAACTCTTAGCTTGCTGGTGTTGTTAGAAAAGTTTAAGTAAAAATAAAAAAATAAATAACTTTAAAAAAAATTAACTAAATAAATTTATTGAATTGTACATAAAAATAATTAATTGAAAATAAACTAAACATCATTAACATTTGGATATCTGGTGAAAGAAAAGTTAAAAAAATGGATAAACATTTAGGCGTCAGTGTAAATTTACTTACGGAAAGCGATGATGATGGATCAGAAGTATGCTTTCTTTGTTCTTATTGTTGTGTTTTTTGCATATTTTTTTTAATTTTTCTTTTCTCCATCTAATCTAATATGATTTTCAAAATTTGCTTAAATATTTTATCTGGTTTTTTAAATATTGTTTATTAAATATTAATTTTTTTTATAAAGCTTTCTATGTTATGTTAGTTTTAGTTTGTTTATTCATTGAGCACTTTGAATTGTAGGCTATTACCCTATTGGTTTGAGTCCTTTCATGATGAGCCTGATAGATTATAAAGGTCGCTGTCAGGTTGATGAGGTTGAATACAATGAATAGATAATGGTGAATTAAGTTGAAAAGGTAATGAAGAAAGATGTACAAGCTGATACAGATTTGATAAGAAAGAATAATAGAGTCGTATGAAGTTTTGTAAGGTAAGAACAGCAAGCTTATAGTTGTGCAAATTCTTTTTTAAAGAGGGACCACACTGAGAAAGTATTGGGTTCAAGCTAACTAACACTGCTTTGGCTGGAATTCACTTACAAATTTTTTATGTCTTAGTCAAATTGCTTTTTGAAATTCTTTATGCTGCTTCTAGTCTAGATGTTGCAAGGCAGTTTGTTTTTTAATTTTGATTTATATACACACAAATCCTGTATATTCAAGATTAAAAATGTCTGCTCACATATATCATATAAATATAGATGCCTTTTCCTTTAAATTTAAAAAATCTGTTAGCAAGCTTTAAAAAACATTCAAAAGAACATTCAAATTATTGTATTGAAATTTGTTTCATATAGATCTGATGCTTGCAGATTGATAAGTTCCAGATGAAATTATTGTGAAGTTCCTTTGTAGGAATGACATGCTTTTATACATTTAGTGTTTTTTATATTTGATCATTTTTTCTTAAGTTACATTTCAAATCCAAATGACAACTAGTTAAAGAAAACCTAGGTGAAAGTCTCTTACAACAAATACATTTGGTTGGGTACATCTCTAACAGGTTGGCTATTCTTGCTGCTGTAGGTGGAGTTTTTTTTTCATGT